TTTAGTCACTATGAATCAGAATCAACTTGATGGCAGTGTGTTTGTTTGTTTGTTTTTTTAATGTGGATGAACTTAGAGGACATTATGCTGAGTGAAACAAGTCAATCACAGAAAAACAAATATTATATTAGTTCATTAATGTAAAAAGTCAATAAAGGTTTATATATGGAAGGGAACTTTCTTTGTTGGTTACCAGGGGTGGGAGGGGAGAGGAGAGAACACTGCAAAAATAAAAACAAATAAATAAAAATGAAATGGAAAAAAAAAAAAAAAACAACCTAATAATAAGTCTCTAAGGGTTTAAGTGACTTGACCAAAGTCAGTATCCCCAGTAGTATCTTCCCATTTCCGGTCCTTTCATTGAGAATGGGCCAGTTTTTTTTTTTTTTTTCCCCCACCATAAGTTAAGTCACTATGAGACAGAGATTTGACATAGAAAAGATTTTCAGAAACGTCAGAAGAAACAGTTTTGGAACTATTTGTAAACCACATAGATGATCCTCGAAATGTACTCAGAACCAACCTATAACTCTACAGGAGAGATGAATACTGTACCCTGTGATAAATGACCAAACCAGCCAATCTCCACTGAAAGGAAGTCCTAAATAGGTTTGACCCCATATCATAGTGGAGAAATTGAGGTGAGAGGAAGGGTGCAATTGTAAGGCAATACCTCTATAGGCCTAGCTTCCCTCTTCCTCAGCAGAACACTAGAGTAGATAGCTCTGTCTATAATATGGACAACTATCACTTCATCTGGTTGACCTATCTTACTTCTTTCCTGAGTTTTGAAGTAAAGATTTCTGCTTCTGGCTCTACTTCTGCTACCTTTATCAACCTCCACTTCAGCGTCTTGATCTGCAATCAGTTCTTCCCAGACGCCTAATTGTGTTCCATAATTCAACCTGTGTCACCAAGAGCAGATGAGCTACTGATGCTACTGAAAAAGCAAGTGTAGAAATCAATCTTTCAAGACCTGGCCTGTGTTCATTCAGAGACCACAGGATGAGTAAAGACACTGGACTGAAGGAGGAATGAATAATGAATGACAGTAAAATTAGTAGCTGTTGTCCCAAGAGCAGACACCAGGGCATCTCCAAGTTTCTTCACATATCTACAAAAGAGATATGATGATCAATCATTACTCAATTTTTTTTAAAGGGAAAATACTGCTAATTTTATAGAAGAGACCAGAGATTGGGTGACTTCAGGCAAAGTTTGATCCAGAAGTTCAAACCATCACACTGAAGACTTCTCAGTCTTCAGGGCCCGTGCTACTCCCTCGCCTATGGCCCACTCTCATCTTCAGGCTTTTCTGGCATGTTCTTCACACGACTGCTACCATGCTGACCCCAGACCTTCACTTCACACACCATCCAAGGGAAGTCAGTGTTCTCCAGTAGTTCCTCCACAGCATCACCTCTGGAAAGGGGGAGCTCAGTGACTACCAAGGCCACCTAGGTGGTACTGACTTTGAGGCAATTTTTCTTCCACATCTGCCTTTGCGGCTAGAAGATTAAAAAGATTCACCTTGTTTTTAGCAGCAACTGAAACAAATACTTGTACACCAATGTTCATTTCAGCCTTGTTCACTGTTAGAGCTCCGTCGGCACTCAACGACCACGCCACACACCAGGGTACCCGACAGGAGATTTTATTTAAAGAGGTGAAAGGGCGCCTGCACCGAGGAAGGACAAATGAAGAAGAAGAGAAAGAAGAGGAAGAAGAAGAAGAAGAGGAAGAAGAGGAAGAAGAAAGGAAGAAGAAGAAAAGAAGAGGAAGAAGAGAAGAAGAGCAATTAATTTTTAAGGAAAGTTTTTTTTTAAATAAGCTGCTTGAAGTCAAGAAAGATAAATAAGAGGAATGGAAATTGTAGCTAATTTAAATTTATTTTCTACACTTTGTATTGTTTGGCCCAAAGTTTACATAGCAAATTGGTTTTCCACTCAACAATTCATATACATTTTGTTTTGTGACATTCATCATAATCCCCACAATGTAATAGCACTCTTCCTACTTTCTCCCTGTGTGTCTCATTTTCATTCCTCCTTTCCTGTCCCTTCCTGCCTTCTGAGCTTTACCTCTGGGCAAATGCTACCCTTTTGATCTCCTAGGGTTGATTGTTTTAAGGAGGGTGAACCTCTCTGGTATTATTATTCACCTTATAGGCCTGTCTATTGTTTGGCTCAAAGTTGAGCAAGGGGATGTTCTTAGTTCTAGGCCTGTGGCCAACTTAAATTTAAATTAGGAAAGCTGAAATGTTTTTAATAACTTAATTGGTGTTCGTTGAGCTCATAAGCAAAAATACACCTGCCGACATGGAGATATTTCCTACCTTTGCACATGCTGGTCCTTCTTCTAGATTGTACTCACCTTCCTTGTACCTAATTTATCTGAATAAATGCTTTTTTTTTTTCTTTAAATATCCTTCAACACCTAATTCAGGCATTATTGTGTTAGAGCTTCCCTTATTATCCCAGGCAAAACAAATCACTCTCATCTGTATATCTCACACATTTTCCATACAGCTTTTTAAAAAGTATAGTTGGTTAACATGTCCATATATTCTGAATCCTCGGTGTTCCTACTGATGTTGTATCCCCAGAGCCTGAATAAGCACATAGTATGTATTCAATAAATGTTTGCTGAAGACATGTAGAAAATTAAAATAGTTTATACTCATTTGTAAAGGATTTCCAATGGAAGCTAATCTGCTTATAGAGCAAAAGGTCAAATATTGGGCAAAATTGTAAGAAATTGCCTTTTCAATGAAATTTTCTCCTTGGTTCTTAGTTCTTTTAGCATTGGATATGCCCCCCCCCCCCGGAGGGGAGGGGAGGAAAAAAAACCAGCTTGTTGAAATAGGTCTGGAGTGAAGAATAAAATGTACCACATTCCATGAGAAGTTGCATACTCAATGACGAGAATGTCAGTTTTCATACACACATGTCCTTTCTCTCCTTTATTTGTACTTATTTTAATTGATGAATCCCAGTCTTTCAGGAAGAAGCTCTGGTAGTGTAGTGCTGAAGACATTTGACTGCTAACCAGAAGGCTGGTGGTTCAAACCTACCAGCCACTCCTCAGAAGGCAGATTGGGCAGACCGGGCAAACTGGGCAATATACCTCCATAGAGATACCGCCTGGGAAACCCAATGAGGGTTTGTTATGAGTCAGAACCAACTCGATGGCAGCAAGTTTGGTTTGGTTTATTTTTCCCAGAAGGAGCTCTGGTAGCATAGTGCCTAAGGCATTTGACTACTAACCAGAAGGTTGGTGGTTCAAATCCATTAGCCACTCTATGGAAGGTAGACCAGGCAATCTACTTCCCTAAAGATTTACCAAAGGGGATCACTATGAGTCTGAACCAACTGGATGGCAGTGAGTTTTTTTGTGTATGGAATCTTTCCAGCCTTTCAAATAATTAACCATTTTTTTACTTCTCCATAATTAATGTACATGGTCTGAGTAATAACAAACTCCTGAGCATATCGAAATTTCATTGTTAATGGATGACTAGGATATAAAGCCAGAAGCGTTACCTCCAGCCCAAGTTTATTTCTCAATGCATGTGATCAGTGCAAACACCATTGCCTATGAAAGCAAGAGTTAAACTGCAACAACATAATCTCTGATAATGAAACGTTGACTGTTCTATTCATTGTAAGCCCTCAGAATTTAAAATGATCATTTCTCCATAACTCTTACCTAGTCCTAAGAAGTTCTGACTTGGTGGTTGAATATAGGTTGGTTACCAAGGAAGAAATGTACAAAGCGAAAATTGTATTTCCAAAAGTGGCCAGCCAAAAACGGTGGACCCAAAGTTCTCAAAGTATACAATAATAAACCAAACCAAACTCACTGCCCTGGAGTGAGGGGACCCCTCCTTGGGTTTCCGAGGTGGGATCACTACCGAAGTAGATTGCCTAACCTTCCTTCCGAGGAGTGGCTGGTGGGTTTGAACCCCCAGCCTCCTGGTTAGCAGTTAAATGTCTTACGCACTACACCACCAGAGCTCCTAGACAATAGTAGTAGTACATTAGTAGTAAGTACACTTTTAACTTCCAGTCATTCTCCATCATTTTCAACCACAAATCAAATCCTCCCACCAGTTAACACACACCTTAAAAGTTAGAAAAATGAGTGTCCTGGCTTACTCAGGCAAAGAGACACTATCAATGGTTCCAATCTAAAGTTCACAACAGCATAACCTGGGGAACTTTTAAAAAACTACAAGGCTCCGGACCAAAAATTTGGTTTCACTTGATCTTCAATTGAGCAAACAGTATTTACTCAGAAGCTGGCCTTTGCGCTGTAGTGAAATGCTTTTTTTTTTTTTTTTTTCAGTTAGCCCAAAAATTCGGTTTCAGGTCAGACTTTCCAAACAGGGTGGTGGGCAGCGGTAATTTTTTAAATTACCCAACTGTGACCTTTATGCAGCCAAGTGAGAATTAGCTAAAAGAACGATGGAAATGCTCCCCAGACTGTTTTCAATAGGGGACGGACAGTAGAAGACTCAATACCAAAGCAACAGGACTCATTTTCCCGATGGAAGATGAGTAGGTTCTGTAAGATCCAAGACCATCCAGCTCCCCGCCTCAGGACTACTGTAGGCTCCGCTCCTTGCCGCGCCTGGCCTAGCCTCGCCCCACCCCAGACCTAGCTAAGATCTCGATTTCCTCGGCTCTGGATCTTGCTCCGCTCGAAGCCCCGCCCAGCCCAGGTCCCTCCCGGCTTCAAGCCTAGTTCCTCTCCTAGCTCGGTCTTGCTTCAGACCCCGCCTAACCCGTGCCTGGTTCCGCTGCGCCGCAGGGCCTACTCCCACGTGACTCCGTCTCTGCTCCTGGACCAGCCCCAACTCTCAGTATCAGGTGGCCCTTGCCAAAGTACTACGCCATCTTTCTGCGCCGCCACTGCCACCGGAAGTGTGTATGTAATTTTCAAGTTGCTCAGGTGTGAGCAGAGGAGCCAAGATGCTTCTCCCTGTGTTGGAGTGAGAAATGACCAAGCTTTTCTTTCTTGCTCACAGAGTTGCTTTGGCTACTGTGAGCTACAGTCGCTGTGGCAGTGGGGGGCTCGGAATGTTCTATGCCGTGAGAAGGGGCCGCAAGACCGGGGTTTTTCTAACTTGGTGAGTGACTTTTTACCAAAGCTGCTACTCTCTTCCAAGCTTCTCGTTTTCCCTAATCTACGGAATAGCAGGAACCGAGGAAGCTGTTGTCGATTGGTTTTTCACAGACAAGCTTTGCCTCCCGGGGATGCCACATGGTAGTTTACTGCTATAGACTGCTAAACCATATGTGCCGGGACCCTCATATTTGTAGTTTGGTTTTTAGGTAGGAGCCCCCTTTTCCCCCTGGCATCCAGAAAATAGGGGAGTCCGAGAAGCGCATGGCTCTGGTTATGTCTCCTGCCGATCTTGAGCTAACGTCGGCCCAGCCGACTCACAGGGTTATAGACTTCAACCAAATTTAATTTTTATTGGACTATCAGAAATGACCCAGATAGTTTGAAGGTGACCAGTGGCAGCTTCTTAATGCTTCCCTTTCAATAAGTGTATCAGAAGTCCCAACCAGTGTTATTACAACATTTTTTCGTACCAAATAACATAGAGTTGGGACTCAGATAATATCTAATTTAATCTTCGTTGTGTTTTTAAAAAGAAATTATGAACTACTATTTGCAATTGAATCCCTATAGTAATCTTTGAAGTAGGCGTGATTTTTCTCATTTTTCGGCTGTGATTACCATGGTCAGGGAGTTCACAGGGCTAGTAAGTCACAGATGCTGCACTTGAACCCCAGTTTTTTGACTCTGAAGACCAGTACTCTTCTCACTATATGATATCAAGATTTATTATCAGAATGTGTGTTTGTGTTTTCCTGTGCACATCAGCTGTGGTATTGAGAAAGAAGCATCTCGAAAGCTGGGGATTTTGCTGAAGTGAAGTTATTTCTACTTTTTTTTTTTTAAAGACCCCAAATTTTTAGTATACTCTGGTGGCATAGTGCCAGAAGATTGGTGATTCAAACCCACCAGCCACTCTGGGGAAGGAAGACTGGGCAGTCTACTTCTGCAAAGATTTACCACCTCAGAAACCCAAAGGGAGTTGCTGTGAGTTGGAATTGACTCCATGGCAGTGTGTTTTGGTTTTGGTTTTGTGTTTGAGAGAGCCTATGGTTCTGGCATGCTATGTGGCTGGTATATAGCATGATACAAGATGTAGGGTTGGATGTGAAATATAAACCTGTACACACAAAAAAAGCACCGCAACCACTGCTGAGGAGTCGGATCTGAGTCATAGCAAGCCCTCCTTGGGTTTCTGAGGTGGTATCACTAGCAAGTAGATTACCCAGCCTTCCTTCTGGGGAGTGGCTAGTGGGTTTGAACTGCCAGCCTTCAGGTTAGTAGTCATATGCCTTAGACACTATGCCACCAGAGCTCCCAAACCTATGCACAGTAAGACATAACTCTGTTCTCAAGGAACTAAGTTTATCCCTTTTCAGATTTTCCCAATTTAAGAAAATAATCTTATTAATTAAAAATGGGTTAAGTAAAAGAAAGAAGGAAGCTTGAAGTAACATAGCACATTCTGTTCCAGGAATGAATGTAGAACACAGGTGGACCGGTTTCCTGCTGCCAGATTTAAGAAGTTTGCTTCTGAAGATGAGGCCTGGGCCTTTGTCAGGAACTCTGTGAGCCCTGATGGTTCAGAAGGTAGTCACTATCATATCAGTGTTACATTTTAACTTACTCGAAGTCTTTCATACCATGATCTTGTTTGATGTATAGAGCTACCCTCTAGGCCAAGAGGGAAGATATGATGATTGCTTCCATTTTACAAATTAGGAATAAGGCTCAGAGAAATTAAGAATAGTGTTTCATGTCAGTAATAGTGTTAGAGACAGCCAGAACATACACATCTCCCATCTCCATTTAGTGTCTTCACTAACACCATAATTCCTTGTATTTTTAAAAATACTTGTACTTGCTGTTGGATTGAGAGGGCTACAGTTTTAAAGTGATGAGTTTAGTTCTTTTGAGTGTAGGTGCTTTTGCTGCATGTGTAAGTGTGGTGTTTTTTTTTTTTTTTTTTAACTCAGGACAGAGTCACATGATCTGAATTTCTTTCAGTATTATGTTACAGAAAGTATAGTTATTTGAAGTTTAAGGTCTAGTATAAGGGACATCGATTCATCAATTAGACAAGACTAAGGGTGACTGTGCTTTAGAGTAGAGCCACCTTAGATTTTAAAAATATATTTAAAAATTATATTTAAAAATATGTATCAACCTATCTTGATGGAGGATTTTTTTTTTTTTAACTTAAAAATATTACATCAGTGGATTAAGACTGAGCAGAGGATAGTTTTAATCATCTTCTCTTGGAGAGTCCCCCAGAACACACTGATATGCTCAAATCTTGAACAGCTACTCCTTTGGATCCTCATCACAATACTTGATAAAGCAGAATTCAGGGAGAGGCAGATCATGCTAGGAATATATCCCTGAAGGACCTCACCTCAGTGTGTATTTACTTCACCCTCTGTCTTCCCAACAGCTTTTAAAGGAGGCTCTGAAGTGACAGATACATTTTCTATCCAGATAGGGAAATCAGTTTGGGCCAGAAAGCAAGTTTGAAAGTATAAAAATGGTGTGCAAGAGTCATCTGACCTCCTATAATTTCACCAGGGGTAAGGAGAATCAAGATCAGCAACCCAATGCTGATTCTTATGACTCAGAGGTCAGACATGTTTTTCTATCCAACCTTTTTAGGAATTCTGACACCAACCATCCCTCCCATGGTACTCTGCTGCTCTGCTGGGTTTGATAATTTGTTGCAAAGGCCACACAGAACTCAGACAATATTCATAATCATGGGGCTTATTAGGGAAGTAAAAGGTGACAATTCAGGATCTGGGATGAATCAGGATACAGTTCTTAAGTTGCAATAGCTTCTTCTTTACCTGCCCATAGGCAGCCCTCTCAGGCCTCTTGGCCCCTCTGCCCTGCTCAGGCAAGTGTTATAAAGCTCTTTTAGCTCTGCCAATAAGTGCCTAGAGGCACTCCGCTCCACCAGTAGGCCTCAGCCCCAAGGCACTCAGTTCTCTTGCTCTGCTCCCTGGGTCAGCAAGCCTGTCTCTGCCTAGTAGTGTCCAGAGGTATCCCACTCTGCCAGAAAGCCTCCTGCCTGAAGGCTCTCAGCTCTCACTGTATCAGTCAGTGAGCCTGGCTCTGCCAAATGCCTGGAGGCACCCTGTTCCACCAGCATACTTGCCACCCAAAGGAGCTCAGCTTTCTTGCTAGGAAGGGCACTGGGCTGTCTCCTTCCAGTCTCCTGGTTCTGCTGCTACTGTTTGTCACCGTCACCTGTATCAGAGCTCACTTTCTGTCCTGGATCTAGGAGATTGTCTACACAGGGTCCCATGTCCAAAAGACACACTCTGCTACTGACTTTTTTTTTCTTGGTGGTAGTCAGGTTCTCTCTGTGCTCATTTTTCTCTACTTTCATCTCTTGCAAGATAAAAGATGTGATTCAAGCAAGAGTGGTGGCTGGAATAAGGGTAGTGACTTGAGTTTAACCTGCCCTAATCCTGCCTCAGGAGCTCTGGTGGCATAGTACCTAAGGTATTTGACTGATAACTAGAAGGTTGGTGGTTCTAACCTATCAGCCACTCCTTGAAGGGAAGATGGGCCAATCGACTTCTATAGTGATGTTGTTGTTTTTGTTTGTTGTTATGTGCCGTCAAGTCAAACCCGACTCATAGCGACCCCTCCTTGGGTTTCTGAGGCAGTATCACTACGGAAGTAGGATTGCCCAACCTTCCTTCTGAGGAGTGGCTGGTGGGTTTGAACTGCCAGCCGTCTGGTTAGCAGGCAAGTGTCTTAGCCACTATGCTACCAGAGTCCCTCTATAGTGATACTGCCTAGGAAATCCAAGGAGGGGTTGCTATGAGTCGGATCCGACTCCACAGCAGTGAGTTTGGTTTTGGTTTGGAGTCCTGCCTCATTACCATAACAAACATAACCTAAACCTCATGAACATAACCTGATCCACTTCATCAACACACACTGGTCAGGGTTTATAACACACAAAATGGAGAATAATTACATCAGATCACAAAATTGTGGACAACCACACAAGTGGGAATAATGGCATAGCCAAGATGACACATAATCCCATCCATTACAGGTTCCATACACTTTTTTGTACATGATCCATCCAATCACTGTGTGGAAGTCACAAAGACTATGGCTAGAAAGGCCATATTAACTAATTCACTGTACCTCAAAAAGTGTGACAGTTGTTATTTGTGGAGTTTTTAATATTTTCAGAGATTTTTTTGTAAATAGTAATTTATGTATATCTCAATTGTTCTAACACATACATGTTTCTGTTAAGTACTCTAAATCTTTCCTTAAGGGAAAAATAGTTCTTTATATTTATGAATATTACTTAAAAGTTTATAGAGATCTCTTACTCAAATGAGTTAGATATATAAACTGGGATTTAACATCTTTGATATTCATGAACTGTATAAAAGCAAAAGTATTAGCCCCTTATCCGATTTTTCTGCCTCTTAATATTGCAGTTATCCTCTTTTTAGGATTATTGAGGTATTTGCTGGTTACTGTAGCTTATGTAAACTGATTAATGACTAATTTACTCAAAGGGAAACCACAATTATTTTGTGAAGTAAAAATCACCTGATCCATGTGGTCTCCTGTTCCTTCAGTATCTTTTCTATTCTTTAAAAACTTTCAGTACAGTTTATCCTTCTATATAATAATAATAATAATAAAAACCCAATATGTATATTAAGATTTTATAGAATTGCACTTAGACCTGTACATGTGTATTTGAGTTCTGCTCAACAGCACCTGATAACAACAACAACACAGTATTTAGAGGAATGTTTTCAAGGCAATTATAAGGTAATTCAAACTACAGTAGAGTGGAAATCGCAAAGATTGATGTATATATAATACTGATTTCACTTACATTTTGGCCATATAACCTTAGCTTTCTTCTGAAAAGTGTGGATTGAGGAGATAGGCTAGATTAGAGATTTTGGTTTGTACTGATCTAGCAGGAATTCAATAAAAGTTAGTATACCATGTCTCTTTTCCTGTTTTAGGGATTTAGAGCTAAAAGTCATCTCTATTAGGTTGTGTTAAGGAGGTTCTTTTGTAAATAAAATTAGTTGCTCTTTCTATACCCTTCTTTCTACTGTATAAAATGATAATGTAGGAAAACACATTTAGATTATCTAGTCCATTGCCTCATTTTACAGAAGCTTGGAAGGTTTAAGTGAGTTGACCATTACAGCTGATGGATAAAAGGTTGAACTCAAATTCTAACTATGATTTTTTGGATCCTGGTCTAATTAATCCTCTACTTTAGCTGCCATGAAGGAGCTCTGGTGGTGCATTGGTTAAGGCATTTGGCTGCTAACCAAAAGGCCAGCAGTTCAAACCATTAGTTACTCTCCAAGAGAAAGATGAGGCAGTCTGCTTCCATAAAGATTTACAGCCTTGGAAACCCAATGGAGCAGTTCTGCTTTGTCCTATGGGGTCACTGTGAGTTGGAATCAACTCTATGGCAGTGGGTTTGTTTTTGGTTTTAGCTGCAATAATAATGTTGAAGAGTAAATGAGATACTGGCTACTTCCAGATAACCCTAAGGAAGTGTTTGAGAACCCTCAGGGATTATGAATCCACCATGACTGGGCCCTGAAGAAATAACACCAACATTACTGACCTTGAAGGGACCCAGTTTCATCTACCCTTCTGGTTTTATTTCCCTTTCTTAGTCTACCCCATTACCTGTTTATTTAAGATAGATTTTCCTGAGGTTTTTAACTTAGCATCCCTGCAATACAGGTATTTTTTTTCCTAGGAGGGAAAGGGACTCTGAACCATAGATACCACCAATACTATACAAAATTTTGATATTTTGTGTATTTCCTGGGGAAAGAGCCTCTCAGATTTTCAAAATATCTCTGATGCCTATAGAATTAAGAATCTTTGGGATCTTTAGTATCTCCAGATTTTGCTTTTAACAGAATCTTTAATATTATCTTGATGTTGCCTTTACTAAACCTATCATGAAAATTTTTCAGTTATTTCACAGGACAACAAAGTTTAAGATGGTATACTCTCTCATAAGTCATTCCTTCTTTGTAGGGCCACATACAGAAGAGTATTTAAGCCTTGTTTAGTCATATTAAATGACTTGCTAAACTGATTGATTTCTTTTAAAAAAAAATTTCATATTATGTTCATTGTTTCTGACTTACAAGTAAATTTCTTTCTTTCAGGACAGAAAAATAGACATGCTCAAGAATCTCAAGTAAAAACAAATAAGCGACTCCGCGAGGAAGATGAAAACTCAGAACCATGTGCAAAGCATGTAAAACAAAATACAGAATCCATACCTTCAGTTAGCAAAGACAGATTTTCTTATATGGGTATATCTTTCTTGGATTTTTTATTTTTGATATAATGATCATGAAAAGATGTAGAGATTTTCCCCACTGTCTTAATTAGGACACTTTGAGCTGAGTGCCTTCATTATTAGTCCTTTTCTGCCTTGTTCTTAGTTCTCAATCTTGTCTGAAAAGATTAATTAGAAATCTCTGAGATCAGCACTTTTTATAATTGATCACATGGTACAGAATTATTAATATTTTGGATGTTCATAAGGATACTATTATATAGATTATAAATGAAAAACATAATCTTTAACAGTATTCTTATGCGTGTAGTATTTTAGGTCACTAGGGCAGAAAAATCCAGGAGCTTCAGCTTCAAGTAAGAAAGGCCTAGACAGAGTTTTTAATAATTAACGCCACGATTAAAGCTTTTATATTCTTATCTTTGCAAAACAGTAAGAGATCTTTACCTTATTTTGAGAAGCAAGATAGTGAACTTTCTCTTCTTCCTTTAAATTCAGAAGTCAGTTATTTTATTTACTGACTTAAAATATGTAAGTTTCTTCTTTGTCTTTTACATGTGTGACTGGAAAATATAAGTAAGTAGCATAAGGTTGGTCAATCTACTTCCGTAGTGATACCGCCTCGGAAACCCAGGAAGGGGTCGCTATGAGTCAGGTCTGACTTGACGACACATAACAACAACAACATTTTTGAAAAATATAAATCAGTATATGTAGGTTCAAAGTTTTCCTCAAGAAGCCATTTTATAGTTTAAAGAAATTCAATAGAAAAGTGCCCTTGATTTGGTTATTTACTTATAGTAATTGAAGCATTTATTTATGGAGTAATTTGGAGATGACCATTTTCAATGTACTAACAGTTGCTTGAGGTGTAACATATATGGCACCTCACATAATACCTGACATAACAGAGATATTCACAATTGAAATAAAATTAAGTGAATAGGAAGAAACTGTACATTAGTATTATTAAAGTTCCTGTTCAAATAGGGAGCTTTGCCCAGCATCTGTATTTTAATAAACAGTCTACTCGGCACTGCCAGCCCCAGTCCGGTTATGGATGTGGTGTTCCATCCTTTCTTTCACTACCACTTTGCTGATGGTGTTCTGGTTGGTCATCAGTGACCTAAGAGTGCCTTCATATCAGTACTTTTCTACCTTTGCTTAATAGCGTTAATACAATAATCTAACCCTCTGTCTTAATGGAAGGAAGCAAAGACAGGCCAATTTTTACTAGTGGCAATTATATTAAGAAAAAATATATATTCTAACATTTTTCAAAGGACTTGAATTTCTGGGAGGCAAGATTTTCATGATACTGTGGCACTGTTTTTGTGGAATGACAATATCCTGATAGTGAAAGTAACTTAAGATATAGAAAGGGACAGTTTTACTATTCTTTGACACCTTTCGTGTAGGATGTAAACAGCAGTTCTTACTGCAACATATTTGACTTTTACTAACTAGTTGTGTTCTGCTTAATTTACCTGGTATGTGGGACCAAAGCATGAGTGAATTCTAAGCAAATAGGGTCAAATTGTTAATGTTGGGCATTATATTCTTTTAAGAACTATCTATATGGGATGAAATGGACACCAGCAACTGGAAAGATAGGAAACGTAGGAGTAGTGGGTTTATGTTTATGGGGGAGAAATCAGAAAAGGAGAGTCATAATGGTTGCACAAGTCAAAAAATGTAATCAGTGTCACTGAATTGTACATGTAGAAATTGTTGGATTAATGTATGCTTTTTCTGGGTATATTCCCAACAACATAATTTTTTTAAAAAAATTGATAATGTTTTCTTAGACAGGACTTCAACAGCATTGTAAACAATTCTCTGTATTTAAAAGATTAATTCAACTTGAATATATTATTGAGGTGAATTCCAGCTTTTAGTAATGTTGGTCCTGCAGTACTTACTAAATTTCCCTTTTACAGGTGAATTTGTAGTTGTTTACACTGATGGCTGCTGCTCTAGTAATGGAAGGAATAGGGCACGAGCAGGAATTGGTGTTTATTGGGGGCCAGGCCATCCTTTGTAAGTAAAACCAATAAAGCTAAATTTTTTAAGCTTCCCACTTTACTAAATACTATTTCAAAACTTATGAAAGGATGAGACAGGGTATGTTTATTGTTTGGATATTTGAAAGACCTGCTAAATAAATAACATTTGCAGAGGTAGCAGAAAAGCAGAGCTTTGATTCATGTTGATTTGAATCTAACAGATTTGTACTTCAGAGTGATAGATTATTTTAGCATTACTTTTCTAGCTATAAAACGTCATAAGTCTTTAATTTTTTACACCAAAATTAAATAACTGTCTCCTTGTAAGAGTGCAGGGTACACTTGGAGGTCTTTTCTTTTGCAAGTGTACAAAAGGGGGCAGGTCATTGGGCTTGGAACCCATCATATCATCAGAGGTTTAGCCATGACTCCTCTGAAAACATGTGAGTTTAGAGGTGATCTTTCATTTTACAAGAGGCACAAAATCAGATGTGAAAAATTCAGTAGTAACTAACAGCCCTAAAATTAAATGTAAAGTAGGGACTTGACTCTATTCTAAAGTTTCCAAGTATCAGTTCTGAGCTTTGTTTTCCAATATTAATAGGTGCCTACAAGATTGTTAAACATGTTTAATATAAATTACTCAGTAATAATACCACTTACATTGAGCTTTATAGTTTACAAAGATAATTCACCTTAATATCTTATTTTAGCTTCAAACCCCGTAAGAGTGAGTAGTAACTTCAAGTTTTCACCGGTAGCAAACTGAGTGTCAGTTTAAGTGGCTTTCCCAAAACTACATAGCTAGTATATTTCTGGTCTAAGACTTAAACCTAGATTTTTTGACTTCTACTCCAGTGTTCCTTCTACCATACCATACTATGCTACCTTTCATAAAATGTTAGTATTGTTAGTTTGGCTAATTTTTAAAGGGTGTGTTTGTTTGTTTATTTATTTTAATTGTGATTTGGGTGAAATTCAACTCAGAGAAAATTCATTTTCCATGTAATATACTTCATGCACATTTTGTATCATGACATTGACTGCAATCCTTACAATGTTAACAGCTCTGTTCCCTCTTCTTCCCTCTAGTTAGCTTTTTCCTGTGTCCTTCTTTCCTATGCATTTCTGCCCTCTGAGCTATCTCTGTATATAAATACTGCCCTTCTGATTTCCCATGATTGATTGTTCTAAGGCGTGTACCTATTTAATATAAATGTTCACCTTATATGTCTTGTCTATTTTGTGGCTGGAAGCCCCAGGAGTGAGTTCAGTTCTAGACCTGAAGGATGACTAGGGGCCATAGTTTTGGGGTTTCATCTGTCTCTATCAGACCAGTAAACCTGGTCTTTTTTATGATTTTGAGTTTTGTTCCACATTTTCCTCCTACTGTATCCAGTATCCTGCACTGATCCCTTTCCAAGCAGTTGTAGCCAGACACCATCTAGTTCTTCTGGTCTCGTGATCATAGGCTAAGGTTTGCGTGGTCTACAAGTGCCTTGGACTAATAGTTTCCATGTATCTTGATTTTCTTCATTCTTTGCTTCTGACGAGGAGAGATCAGTTGTTGCATCTAGATGCCTGCTTGCAAGCTTTTAAGACCCCAGTCATTACTTACCAGAGTAGGATGTAGAACAATGTTTTTGTGTAGTGTGTTATGCCAGTTGACCTTGATGTCCCCCATGACCCAAGCCCACAGGTCTAATAATTTGCTTCTTCAGGGTATTTGGCTGTGGCTAAGAAATAATCATAACTTTGTTCCCTGTTAATTCTATTTATATGGACATTCTTAAAGCACATACATTCTTAAACACATATGTAGAAATATCATCTACCAGCCTTATTTTTGGTCATGGGTATATTCCTTAAGCCTGTCTACCTGTGTATCTACCTGTAGATTAATGTTTGTTATTACTGAAAATGTAGTATTGTATATATAAAAGTGTTTGTTTTCTGTATCTCTTGTGCACCTCTCTGTGTCTTCCTTTTCCTTAATGTTAATGTATTGGTCACTTGTTTTTGGTATATTACCTTTCCTTCCACCTAAATCAATACTTGTCTCTTACTTATCTAGCAATTTTCCCTCCCTTCCCCTTCCATCGCTGGTAACCAACAAAGAAAGTTTCCTTCCACGTATAAACCTTTCCTTGACTTTTTACATTAGTGGACTAATACAGTATTTGTCCTTCCGTGATTGACTTATTTCACTCAGCATAATGTCCTCCAAGTTCATCCACATTATGCACTATTTCACAGATTCTGCATTATTCTTTAGTGTTGCATAGTATTCCATTGTGTGTATGTACCATAGTTTGGTTATCCATTCCTCTGTTGATGGGCATTTAGGATGTTTCCATCTGTAAAGGCTATGTTTTTAAATACGGTGCTTTTGTATTTCAAATAAATATACACTAATTGTTATCCACTAAGAGGAGTAAGGAATCACTTTGAGAATTGCTTAGTAATTTTATTTTCTTTCATATTGTTTTGAAACAGAAATGTAGGCATTAGACTTCCTGGGCGACAAACCAACCAAAGAGCAGAAATTCATGTAAGTTATTAGTTACATTTTTCTACTAAAAATTTAAGTTCATCATTCTTTAGCACTGACAATGAATGTATCAGTTAACTTTATACTGTCTATGTATATAATATAGGAGCTCTGGTAACGTAGTGCCTAAGGCATTTGACTGCTAACCAGAGGCTCATGGTTCAAACTCACCAGCCACTCCTTGGAAGGAAGGTTGGGCAATCTACTGCCATAGTGATACCACTTTGGAAACCTAAGGAGGGGTCTGACTCAATGGCATGTAACAACAACATGTATGTAATATAGTCAAAGTCCAGAAGAAGCTTAGTTTGGAGTTAAGTAACAACTCGGAAGACTCAGAATTTTCTAGAAAAACTAAAATTTATTGCAAACTGATGTGTAAACAGGAGAATTACATATTTAGCATTATTTCATACAGACAGTATGATCATTGTAGCTAGTACAGAGAAGGAGGAGTGTTTCCATTTTGAAGTCCTGTTGAAAGTTGAATCCTTTGTGGAATGGTTATCAACTTGTTTTCTTCAAGGCAACCTGCAAAGCCATTGAACAAGCAAAGGCTCAGAACATCAGTAAATTGGTTCTGTATACGGACAGTATGTTTACTATAAATGGTAAGTCTTCACATTTTATTTTTTCTAGTGTTTTTTCCATAAGTAAAAAAGGAAATGTTGGTATTTCATTCCCTGGTGGGAGGTACTGTCACAGGGCAGAACCCGAATGGTAAATGGGAATAGTACTTCATTGGTGAGTCAACCAGGAAAGAGTGAGTTTTTTGGAATCCAAGTTCTGCTCCAGTAATTACCACGTACTTATTTTGTTCCCATTCTGTGCCAGGCTGTGAAGGTAGATATGTCGTAAAATAGATAGGTTTCTACTCTCTTGGTACTTAGAGTTTAAATATGAGTTAGGAACTTGTTCTGGTTACCTAGTACTGCTCTGACAAGAATATACCACACATGAGATGCCTTGAAGAAGCACAGTTTGGAGGTTTTTAAGTCCGAGTTCAAAGTGCCAGGCTGTAGGGGCTGGGTGAAAGCCTCTCAACCTTGGGCTTCAGTTCTGCCTCCTGCCCCCCGCCCACTGGAGCTGGAGGCTTTTCTTCACTTAGCTTCTGGCTGCTGAGGCTGCCAAGCCCAAGGTTGACAAGTAGAAAAGCACAGTCCCGATGTTACCAAACCACACAGTAGGCTATTAATTCAAGTCCATTGAAAATCCCAGCGTTGGCAGGGCATGGGCAGGCTACTGAACAATGACACAACTACATGCAGGGTTCAAGAGCACCATAACCTAGAGACTGTTCCCCAAGGCTTCTCCTTGTATACATCCCTAAGGCAGCTACTCAGCTGCTCACAGTAGATTCCACCATGGAATTGATTACCAGTCTCATCATGGGGAATACTACATCCAGCTGCCCAGCCACCCAACCAGGCCCAGCCAAGTTGACGCACAAACTTGACTACCACAGAACTTAAGACAGTATGCTAAGTACTTCTTAGGGAATAATACAGTGACTGCGGCCATGTTGGAGGGATGCTTAAGTGGTCTGGGAGGGCTTTTTGGAAGAAGTGACATCTCAGGCTGGGAACTAAAGGTTGAATGCAGGTTTGAGGAAAAGGAAAAGGGAGTAGTTCAGGCATCTGCAAAAAATCAAAGCATGGCATAATTGAGTGAAAGGTTGAGTGAAAAGTGAAATGTTTAGAATCACGGTTGTTGTTGTTATGTGCCATGGAGTCATCTCTGACTCATAGTGACCCCTGCTTTCCAAGGCAATATCTCTACGGAAGTAGATTGCCCAGTCTTCCTTCTGATGAGTGGCTGGTAGGTTTGAGAATCACTACTTAGAATATAAAAGTGGGCAATCATAAGACATAAACCTAGAGAGGTTAAAAAACAACCAGAATGTTCAAGCAAGACCTTTTCACCTTTGTGATCATAGCAAGTTATTTAACTCCTGGGAGCCTCATTTTCCTTATCTCCAAAATGGAGAAAGTAAACCTACTTTTAAAGAGCCATTGTAATGATAAAGAGGACTTACTACATGTGAATTGCTTATCACCTTAAACTGACTGACTTACCCAAATAATTTTTTTGTTTTGTTTTGAACATTTTATTGTGGTTGGGTGAAAGTTTATACAGCAAATTAGTTTCCTGTTCAACTGTTCACACATTCTTTGTTTCGTGACATTAGTTACAGACTGCTCAGTGTAATAGCACTCTTTGCACTTCTTCCCTGGGTTCTCTGTTTTCGTATGTCCATCTTTTCTACCCTTGCTGCTTTCTCAACTTAGTTTTTGGGCAGATGCTGCCCTTTTGCTCTTGTATGGTTAATGTATTGGTTCTGAGAAATACGTTTCTTATGGGTGTTACTGTTCACTTTATTATTTGGCTGAAAGGTGGTCTGTGGAAGTGGGTGTAGTTCCAGGCTTGAAGAGTGTCTAAGGACCGTAGTCTCAGGGATCCCACTAGTCTCCATCAGACTAGTAACTCTGGTCTTTTTCATGTTTTCAAATTTTGTTTCTACATTTTTCTCCTACTCTATCCAAGATCTTCTTTTGTTATGGTGATCAGAAGGGTTGGTAGTGGTAACTGGGCACCATCTAGTTCTTCTGGTCTCAGTTTAGTGGAGGCTGTGGTTTGGGTGGTCCATTAGTCCTTTGGACTGTTTCCTTGAGCCCTTGATTTTCTTCACTCTTCTTTGCTCCTAATGGGAAGAGACCAATAGCTGTAGTGATGGCTGCTTGGCAAACTTTTTGAGACTTTAGTTACTGATCACTGAAGTAGAATGCAGAACATTGTCTTTGAGGAGTATGTTATGCCATTCGATCTAGATGTCCCCCGAGACTATGGTCTAAAGCCTTCAAGGCCAGTGACTCAGTCCCCCAAGGTGTTTGGTTATGGCTAAAAAGTTTGCATAACTTTGTTCCCTGTATGCTGTACTGTATGCCTCAATGTGTTTATCACCTACAAATATATATGTAGAAATATACTCTACCAAACCTATATATGGTTGTGAGTATACTCCCATACACCATTCCATATCTATTTAGCTTACATATCTACCCATGTTGTTGTTGTTGTTATGTGCCGTGGAGTCGGACCCGACTCATAGTGAGGCCTCCTTGGGTTTCCGAGGCACTATCACTACGGAAGTAGATTGCCCCCATCTTCCTTCCAAGGAGTGGCTGGTGGGTTTGAACAGCCAGCCTTCTGGTTAGCAGTCAAGTGCCTTAAGCACTATGCTACCAGAGCTCCCTATGTATCCACTTATAAACACTTGTCTGTTACTGTTACTGCATACCTCTCAGTGTTTTTCCTTCACCTTGCTCATGTTATGCTACCCTCTGCCTTATTGTGTATTGCCTTTCCCTTCACTTAAGTGAATACATGCCTACTATCTAGTTAAAGGAGTTCTGGTGGTGCAATGCCTAAGGCATTTGACTGCTAACCAGAAGGCTGGCAGTTCAAACCCACCAGCCACTCCTCGGAAGGAAGATTGGGCAATCTAATTCTGTAATGATAGCACTCGGAAAGCCAAGGAGGGGTCACTATGAGTTGGATCCGATTCGACAGCAGTGAGTTTGTTGTTGTTTTTTTTTTGGTATCTAGTTAAGGATCCCTGGTGGCACAGTAGTTAAGCTCCCAGCTGTTAAACAAAAGGTCAGCAGTTTGAACCCACCAGAAGATAGATGAAGCAGTCTATTTCTGTAAAGATTTACAGTGTTGGAAACCCTGTTTTTCCTACAGGGTTCCTATTAGTCACAATCAACTCAACAACAGTAGGTTTTGCTTTTTTGGTTATTATCTAGTTATCAATCCCTTCCTTCCCCAAATCCCTGGTGACCATCAAAGAATGTTTCTTTCTGTGTATAAACCTTTTCTTGACTTTTTATAATAATGGTCTTATACAGTATTTGTCATTTTCTAATTGATTTATTTTACTCAGCATAATGTCCAGATTAATCCATATTGTGAGGTGTTTCAGAGATTCATTGTTATTTAATGGTGTGTAGTATTATGTTGTGTGTTTATATCACAGTTTGTTTATCCATTCATCTGTTGATGGGCACTTAGGGTGTTTCCCACTTTTTGCTATTGTGAATAATGCTGCTATAAACATAGGTATGCATATAGCCATTTGTGTCATGGTTTTTATTTGTCTAGGATATATACCTATCAGTGGGTTGCTAGATCATACGGTATCTCTATTTCTAACAATTGAAGGAATCTGCTTACTGTTTTCCACAGTGGTTGTACCATTTTACAATCAGCAGTGTATGAGAGTTCCAATCTTCCTACACCCTTGCCAGCATTTGTTGTTCTGTGTTTTTGGTCATTGCTGTTATTACCAGGGTGAGAAGATAAATCCTTGTTGTTTTTATTTGCATCTCTGGCTAAGTCTTCAGTATGGATTACATCTCAACATAGAGAAAACAAAAATCCTCACAACTGGACTGATAACACCATGAAAAATGGAGAAAAGATGGAAGTTATCACGGATTTTATTTACTTGGATCTATAGTCAACACCCATGGAAGCATATGTCATACTGCACTGGGAAAATCTGTTGCAAAAGACCTCTTTAGTATTAAGAAGCAAAAATACCACTTTGAAGACTAAGTTGCATCTAACCTGAGCCATGGTATTTTCACTAGCCTTATATGCGTGTGGAAGCTGGACAGTGAATAAGGAAGACCACAGAAGACTTGATGTGGTGTTGGAGAAAAGTACTGACAATACTATGGACTGTAAGAAGAACGAACAAATCTGTCCTGAAAGAAGTGCAGCAGAATGTTCCTTAGAAACGAGAGTCGCCAGACCTGGTCTTAACTTCTTTGATAATGTTGTCAGAGGGGCCATTCCCTGGAGAAGGATGTCATGCTTGGTAAAGTAGAGGATTAGCAAAGAAGGGGAAGATCCTCAACAAGATGGATTGACAAAGTGGCTGCAATAATGGGCTCAAACATAGCAAGAATTGTGAGGATAGTGCAGGACTAGATGATATTTCATTCTGTTGTACATAGGGTTGCTGTGAGTCAGAACTGACTTCATGGCACCTAACAACAACAGTGGCTAATGATCACAAGTATGTCTTCATATATTTGTTGGTCCCCTGAATGTCTTCTTTGGTGAAGTGTCTGTTCATGTCCTTCGCTCATTTTTTAATTGGATTGTTTGTCTTTTTATTGGTGAAGTGTTGAAGTTTAATATAAATGTTACAGCTTTGTTCCTTGTCTGATATGTCATTGCCCCAATTTTTTTCCCCAGTATATAGGTTCTCTTTTTACTCTTTTAGAGGAGGTTTTTGATGTGGGTGTTTAATTTTTATAGGAGATTCCAGTCATCTATTTTATCTTACGCTGTTTGTAAGTTTTTAGTTATGTTTGATAATCTGTTTATGCCACAAACTAAGGACCCTAAGTTGTTTGCCCCTATTTTTTCTCTCACAATCTTTTATGGTTTTAGGTTTTACATTTAGGTCTTTGGTACCTCCTGAGTTATTTTTTTTTGTATATGATATATATGGATCCTATTTCATTTTTCTAAAATGGATATCCAGTTTTACCAGCACCATTTGTTTAAGAAATTATCTCTTTCCCCATTTAATGGGTTTTTAACCCTTTATCAAAGATCAATTGTTCGCAGGTGGGTGAATTTACTTCTGGGTTCTCAATTCTGTTCCATTGGTCTATGTGTCTGTGGTTGTACCAGTACCAGGCTATTCTGACTGGTATATGGTTGGTTCTGAGATCAGGAAGTGTGAGGCTTCCTATTTTACTCTTCTTTGGTAGTGCTTGGCTTATCTAGGGTTTTTTTTTCTATATAAAGTTCATGATTAGTTTTTCTGTCCCGTTAGAGTGTTGATGGAATCTGGATTGAGATTCCATTATATCTATAGATTGCTTTGGGTATTGATATGTTCACAATGATAAATCTTCCTGTCCATGAGTATGCTATGTTCTTCCGTTTATATAAGTCTCTTTTGGTTTTTTGCAGTAGCGTTTTGTAGTTTTCTTTGTATGGGTTTTTTTGTGCCTCTGATTACATTTATTGCTAAGTACTTCCGTCTTTTGGGTGATTACCATAAATGATACTATTTTCCTGATTTCCTTTTCAGAGTTCTCTTTGTTAGAGTAGACAAAGCCGATGGATTTTTGTATGCTGATATTATACCCTGCCACTTTGTTGAATCCTTCTATTAATTTCAGTAGTCTTCTTTTTTTAATTGTGATTTGGGTGAAAATTTACAGAGCAAATTCATTTTCCATACAACAGTTCATGTACACTTTGTCTCATGACTGACTACAATTTACCCCAATGCAATAGCTCCCCTCCTACTTCCTCCCAGTAGTTACCTCTTCCCTGTGTCCATCCCTCCATGCACTCTTGCCCCCTGAATTATCTCCCTGTGCATAAACAGCCCTTCTTTCTCCCATGATTGTTCTCTCCAAGGAGTGTATCTTTCAGTAGTCTTGTAAGTCTCTGGGATTTTCAATATATAGAATCATATTATCTGCAAATAGGGAGTACTTTTACTTGTTACCATTTTGGGTGCCTTTTGTTTCCTTTTCTTGCCTTATAGCTCTGGCTAGGACTTCCAGTGCTATATGGAGTGATAGTGATAATAAAGAGCATCCTTGTCTTGTTCCTGTTCTCGACGAGAATGATTTCAGTCTCTCTCCCTTGAAAGTAATGTTGGCTGTAGGTTTTGTATATATTCCCTTAATTATGTTGAGGAATTTCCCTTATATTCCTATTTTACTGACAGTTTTTACCAGGAAAGGATGTTGGATTTTATCAAATGCCTTTTCTGTATCAGTTGATAGGATCATGTGGTTTTTTATTTATGTGGTAGATTACATTGATTTTCTAGTGTTGAACTGTCCTTGCATACCTGGTACGAATCCCACTTAGTCATGATTTTCCCAGGGAATTTTGTGTGGGTAGAACTAATTCTTCTTTAGTATTTTGGGAGTCTCCCATTAATGAAGTATTCATCTGAACCATTTTGATAGGCTCACATTATTTTGGTGCAGCAGAATCCCAGGTGTGAAGTAGATGACATGTCTAGAGTAAAATTATTCTCTCTTATATAGGGGAATTCTTTCAGCCACAAAATAGTGTAATCAGTAGATTTTGGTTTGAGATAACAGCAATGTTTCCTAGTAGTTTCTAATAGATTAGGTTAGATGTAGAGAAATTAGGGAATATGTCAGGATGTTCTTTGTAGAATGAAGTTAGCTTCTTTTTAGTTGATCACTGACTTATGGTGACTCTGTGCACAATAGACTGCAACCACAATCACTTGGAGATAGGACCATTGTTATCCAAAGGATTTTGATTGGCTGATTTTGGCAAGTAGATTGCCAGGTCTTTCTCCCTAATCTGTCTTAGTTGGGAAGTGCCACTGAAACCTGTTCATCATTATAGCAACACGTGAGCCTCTGCTGACAGATGGGTGATGGCAGCACAAGAGGTGGATTTACCAGAAATCGAACTTGGGTCTCCCATATGGAAGAGGAGAATTTTACCACTGAACCACCAATTGGAGACTCTAACAGCATGTATTGTTTTATGGAACATACGTAAGAAAATATCCCTGGAGGGAGAGGGAAACAGAAGGACAAATGTAAGACTAGTTAATAAAAATTAGAATGGAGGCAAAAAAGAAAGTAGAGCTAATAATGAAATTAATCTGTGAGTATGCATTTCTTTTAGGCATAACTAATTGGGTTCCAGGGTGGAAGAAAAATGGATGGAGAACAAGCACAGGGAAAGAGGTGATCAACAAAGAGGACTTTGTTCAACTTGACAAACTTACTCAGGACATGGATATTCAGTGGGTGAGTATTTTTAAAAATGTTTTACATTAACTAGAGTTACTGATGGCTTATATAAATGATTTAATGAATTAAGAGGTTAAAATAATTGTTTCCATGAAATTAATATCATAATGTATATTAAAACAAATTTGATTCTTTATAATTTCGCTGTTTTAAAAGGAGGATATTGCTTTATACAGAATACACTGGCAGCATGATTTGAGGGTTATTCTACCTTCTTTTCATTTTTATATTAATACATAGTAATAAATGGGCTAGGCATACTTCATTATTGTTCGAGTTGTAATAGACAAACCTATTGGTTTCTTCAGAATTAGTCATAATATTAAACAAAATGAATTTATATAATGCTTTTTTTTTTTTTTAAGTTATGCATGATAGCCTTACTAACATGACTTTTTCTAAAAATGGAAGTTTTTTCTTATAATGATTTTTTTTCCTGATTTGATTTATTTTTATTTTTTAAATTTTTGATTTGGGTGAGAGTTTACAGAGCACACTCATTTTCCATATGGCAGCTCATACACATTTTGTCTCATGACATTGACTGTGATTCCCCACAATGTAACAGCTCTTATAATATGTAATTTTATTTTATTTTTTCCCCCTAAATAGTACTCAACAAGTTAAATGACAACCATTGTCTCAAACCTACATTTCTCTACCTCCCCAGAAATACTGGGGAATTGTCAGTTTGATAACCTAACACTTGAATTTGTCTTTCAGTAACCTAAATGTAAACAATGATTAATCAAATAAATACATCCATACTTTCTTAGCAGTTAAAAAGAATAAAGTGTGTGTGTGTATATATACACACATATACATGCATGGCATGCACTTTATATGGAGAGCTTGACAAGTCTCGTTCCTAACTGAGGAAAAGGCAAAGATGCAGTTTGTGTAGAAAACTGATTTTTTATAAATGTATACATTGAATAAATGCATTAAAGAAGGTCTGTAAGAATGTACTTTATACTGTTTAGAATTATATTGGGTAAGGAGCTGTGAAAGTAAGTTTTTTTTTACTCAGTATACTCTATATTGTTGAAATTTTTTACAATGAGAATATAATCATGTGTTGCTTGTGTAAAAATTAATAAAAGGAAAATTTTTATTTTAACAGATGCATGTTCCTGGTCATTCAGGATTTCTAGGGAATGAAGAAGCTGATAGATTAGCCAGAGAAGGAGCTAAGCAATCTGAAGCCTAAAAGAAATAATTTTAATACTTGGGAACGTGAGTCAGTGGCTGTTTTGTTACTTTTACTTATTGATATGGAAGGTAAAAGACTGTAGGATGGACTATTGCAGTAGGTGTGACTGGCACAATTTCAAACTAAATCAGAAACTCTATTTCTGTGAAATAGTTTGATAAAAAGTGGTTAGATGTATAATAAATTGGCTTTTGAGATTTCAGAATTAAGTTTATTGGGCTTGATTCTGTTGTCATTTGTTTTATTGCAGTCTGACTCAGAATGTTAGGGCTTTGATTTTAATAAAGAATGAATAAAGCTTAGTTTATAAATGAAGAAATGCAGGGAAGAAGTATAGATAGTAAGCCTCATGATTTTCAAGTCTATTTGTGCCTTTGTGAAGATTAGATAAAGGCATCCCTTCCTTTGGGCAGGTGCAGCCCCATGCTAGGGCACAAAGCTTAGCAGACAGCTGTGAGTTAAGTCTTAGCCCCATTTGCCCTCTTGGCTGACATTCTCATATATCTGCACATAGGTAGCTTTGGTTATTAGACCATAAAAGAAGAAGAGTTACAACTTTTGAAGACCAAGATGGTACAAATAAATCTTTCAAAAATTTCTTTAGATGTTTTTGTTAAAAACAGCATGTTAAAGAAAATTTGTAATGATCATTTATTTTTAACCTTACTTATTGTAAAATAAAAACACAGATAGAAAACCAAGTGAAACAAATGTGTAGCTTTTAGAGTTGTTATTATTATTATAAAGTGAATATGCTTGAAACTGCCACCTTACTCACCTTGACCAAACCAAAACCAAACCCACTGTCAAGTTGATTTCAACTCATAGCAACCTTGCAGGACAGAGTAGAACTGTCCCTGTAGAGTCTCCAAAGGTGTAAATCTTTATGGAAGCAGATTGCCGCATCTTTCTTCTACAGATTGGCTGGTGGGTTCAAACTGCTGATCTTTTGTTTAATAGCCAAGTGCTTTAACCACTGTGCCACCAGGGCTCCTCAGTCACCTTGACAGCCACCCCAGTGAGTCTCTCAGTACCCCATCTCATACACAACCCCCACGCCTCCAACATAACCATTATCCTGATTTCTATAGAAATGACTTCCTTGTGTTTCATTTGGCAGTTTAATTTTGCCTACTTTTAAAAAAAAACTTGATATGTCTTACATCTTCAGTCTCTGTTACTCAACAGCTTTTCCAGCCATCCCGTTTGTATAGTTCTTAACATGGAACAGATAAATATTTGCTTTTGTCCTCTATACTTCCTGCAATTTGGTGACTAAAGGCTTCATCTGACTCAAGTTCCATATCTTTGGCAAGACTTTCATCAGTGGTATATATTTTTATCAGGAGTCATATGTCTGATTTTCATCTTTTTTGATAATGGCAGTTACTGATGATCATTGCCTAAATCTGTTAATTAATCAGAGTTTGTAAAATGTATATTCTTATTCTATGATTTTATTTGCAGTTATTAGCTGGAGTAGTTTTATAAGAGATGCTATCTGTCATCTACTACTTGGTTACCCATTGATATAGTTGATATAAAAAGGTGGGATAAATGCTTGATTCTTCCCTTTCATATACGGAATTTTCAAGATAATGAATTAGTTAGTTCCCTGTCATCCTTACGAAGGTGACCACTTACAGTTTTTTATCTATATGTATCATGAATTCGTGAAGTTAAGCATATTTGAGGGGTTTTAATGTATTGTAATTGTTATTATACTGAGTTCAAATTATAGCTTCTTTACCAGTGAGAGGTAGCCTTTTCAAGTTAGCTCTTGAGTTCTTTTGATATGCCATAAACACACACACACACACACACACACACAGAGAAAGAGAGAGAGACAGAGAGAGAGAGAGAGATTGATTGATTGAGATTAGCAGGTCCCTTGTCTGGATATCAGAATGTTTAAGGCCATCTTGTGCATCTTCTGCTTCAGACCTGGAATCAGCTATTTGTCCTGAAAGCCCTGGTTTCTTTGAATGGTTAAAGTGGTATTTCAAATCCACAATCTGGGATGCTCATTGCTATTAGTTGGTCATTGTGCATGCTGATATTCTCCAGTTCAAATTCAGGATTTCATGGTTTTTACTGCACCTCTTCAACGTTGTGCTTATGTTTCCTTCCACACTGAGAATCCTGGTTCTCAAGACATAGGAGATGATATCCTGTAATTACTCACTTGCTTTATTCCACTTTAACATACAGTATTTGAATAATAGCACTAAACTACCATCACTAATAACGATTACTGAAAATAGTACTGTATGTACACTGTTAACCATTACATAATTTAATCCCTCCCTTTTACCCTCACTGGAAGCGGCATCTTCTGACCTCCTCCAGCCTCACAAGGGGCAAACAGAATAACCATCAACAGCCCAAGGCTTATTCCTATAAGGCCAGACATGCTGCCACCCTCCAGCCTCTTTACCAGTTCCGACACCAACTGTCCCTCCCATGGCACTCACTACTTACCTTCTCTGCTGGGTTTGATAATTAATGGTAATGGCCACACAGAACTCACCAATAATACAGTTATGGGGTTTATGAAGGAAGTAACAGGTTACAATTCAGGACATAGTTCTTCAATCAGGAGTGTCTCCCCTCTGCTATGCCCTTAGATAATGCCTCTCTGGTCCCTAGCCTCTTGGCCTGGCCTCTCCCCCCCGGGACAAATATTATGAAGCTCTTTTAGCTCTGCCAGTAGATACACCTAGGTGCACCCCAGTCTGCCAGCAAGCCTCGTGCCCAAGGGCACTCAGCGTTCTTGCTCCATGGTCTGGAAAGCCCACTGCACTGTCTCTTGCCTCTTGGTTCTACTGCCACCATCTCTCAGCCAAGAGTCTCCCATCCAGGCATCTCTCTGCCAAGAAGGTTCAGCACAGGATCTCAGGTCTGAGGATGTGCTCCATTTCACCTCCACTTCTTCTCTGTTGATGGGAAATCAGATCCCTTTCTGCCTCTAGGAGAGCTCATTTTAGGCCAACAGCAAAACTAACCAATCCTCACATTAGAGTTCTATACACCTTATTTGCATGGCCCCACCCAGTAATCTGGTGGGAATTACAAAGACTATGGCTAGAAAAGCCATACAAAGTAATTCACTGCACCATACCCTCATTTAGACTCATTTCTGCATATTTAATGGGAACAATATTACCTGAGTTCTTGCATATTCAATTTAGTTTGTACCCTTTACACTTGAAGATCAGTTGCTGGGTGTAAGATCAGTTTGCTGGGTGTAAGGCTCTCATTTTCTTTCTTGAGTATCTTGAATATTTTAGTCTGACATAAAGTGATGCTATTTAAGCCTTAAAGAGTCTTATTTTTTCTTACCTTGTAAGTCACATGGTCTTTTTACTTAAATGCTCAAAGGCTTTTTTTTTCTTTCAAGTCTAATAATTTTATTAGTAATGTGTTGATTATTCTGGGTCAATGTAGCAGTTGTATGAAATGCTCTTCCAATATGTAGTTTCAAATCCTCAATAAAGTTTTTTGAACTATTGCTTAGTGTTCTGTTTTTCTTGCTGCTTTTTCTTCTTCTTTTGGGTACTTTTGTTATCTCTGTGTTGAAATCTGACTTGCCTGTCTTCTATATCTGTTAATTTCACTCTAATCTCTTTCTTCATTTTATTTGGAGTTTTAAAAATTGTCTTCCTAAGGCTTCTGGCAAGATGGCGGACTAGGCAGAAGGATTGCAAAGACCCTCTTCAACAAAGAAAAGGGAAACCAATTAACGCAGACACAGAAGATAATCTTGGACCCCTGAGCCTTGAAGGGAAGGATACA